CAACAACAACAACTACAGCAATGCAACTTTCTCCATTAAAGCCAAGAAAAAATAAAGTCTTACTTGGTATGCAAACCCAGACGGTGTCAGAGCTAGAAAACTGTCGGGCATGGCATGTGCCCCGCCTGAGTGTGTTGGCACTCTGCTTAGTTCTCTTGTAGTTTAGAGTTAAAAGCTTTGCTGTTGTATGTTATATTGGGCCAGGTCAGTTTTTATGAGTGGAACTACAGTTGGAATTGGGCGAAGGTCAAGAGTTTATGCGGGAACTGAAGTTTGTTGAAATTAAACTTGAAGTTGGCAAGAGAAAAGGCTTGAATGTTTGTAGAATAGTGGGACTCGACTCGTATTTGTCTTACATATAAATATATATTCATATATAATAAAACAGTAAAATAAATAAGTATTCATTGGTATTAAATGTAGGTGAGGGAAAAGTACAAATTATTATTATTTTATAAGATATATATATAAAATGAAAATGTTTACAGGAGTTCTTTACAAAGATCTTACAGTCTCATCTATGTAATTATCAACTTTGAAATGGTATTTCACACCCTCCCAACAATGTAAGCTCAAGGTCGATTTATATAGCTCCTATCTATTAGCATAGCTTTAACATGGCTCATACACCTTTTTTTCCAATTTATTTGCCTAACAAATGTTGGAAAAAAAAACTGCTTAAGCCGGATCTAATTGTAATAAACATATTTATATAAGACCATTTGGCTCATGCAAGTGTGATGAGTCTTAGAGGTGGCACAGCTGTCATCAATAGACCATAAAATTTGCATACAATTTTGCCTGGCTAAAGCCATAACTTATAATAGATAAAAGCATAAAACAATCAACTAATTTGCATGCACAGTTATTAAACAAATCGGCAGAGATCAGCTGCTGTTGCCAAGCAGAATTCTTTTGATTACGAAATAGGGCTGACTGGATGGGTGGTGTGGCTGGGGTCGCCGCAAGGCCGTTACAAATTGGAATGGAAAAAACTACTCAATTAGGCGAATTGAACAAATTGAACAATTGTCAGCGACAAATTCCATATAGAAAGCCAAACAAAACACACAGTCAAAATCGCTCAAAATCGGATCGATTCCTATTGAGTGGATCGGTCTGGTATTTCCAATCACTGATTTCGCATAAAAAGATGTCGACTCATCCAAGCGGAAATGGAATTGGGTTGGGCACCATTTTTGGGCGTTGGGTCACTCGGCAAATACTCAGAAAAGTACATGAAAATGGAAAGCTAAAAAAATCCAAATCTAATCTGAAAACAGTTTCAATTCGCGCCTAATCGAAATAACTTTGTTTGCGCTTGCAGCTTTACTTCTCCAGTCGATTAACAGCCGAGCCAAGCCCACTGCGAAATGTTTGTGCTGCGCACGTTGCTGCTGGTGGCAGTGAGCGCCACTGTGGCGCTGGCCCAGCGTCGCCTGGCGCTGCCCGATCCCCGTAGCTGCGCCAATCGTGTGCGACATGCCACCTACCGCGATGCCCGAGGCGTCTCGCACTCATACTTCTTCAGCTGGGAGCATGCGCCGACGCGCAGCCTGGAGGTGGACTGGCTGGATGCGCGCAACATTTGCCGGCGGCACTGCATGGACGCCGTTTCGCTGGAGACGCCCCAGGAGAATGACTTTGTGAAGCAGCGCATTGCGCGCGGCAATGTGCGCTACATCTGGACCTCGGGCAGAAAGTGCAACTTTGCTGGCTGCGACAGGCCCGATCTGCAGCCGCCCAATGAGAACGGCTGGTTCTGGTCCGGCTCGGGCGCCAAGATTGGCCCCACCTCGCAGCGCAACACCGGCGACTGGTCGTCAACGGGTGGCTACAATCAGCCACAGCCGGACAATCGTGAGGCGGCCCAGGGCAACGACGAGAGCTGCCTGTCCATTCTGAACAACTTCTACAACGATGGCATCAAGTGGCACGATGTCGCCTGCCATCACATCAAGCCCTTCGTCTGCGAGGACTCCGACGAGCTGCTCAACTTTGTGCGCTCCCGAAATCCCAATGTGCGTTTGTAATTCTAAAATGTAAAACTTAAATTAAGCCTACAAGGAAACAAAACAAAAAGAGAAAACATATTTATGTAGCATTAAACGGAGCATTGATTGATTGATTGATCGAATACTCTTCCAGCGCTTTTGGCCAATTCCGTTCTCATTTTTTTTGAATAACATTTCCGTGTTGATTCGCGCATGAAAAACAAAATTGTTAAATAATTTTAAAAACAAATTGTTAATAAATATACAAATTGAAGCTGATAACAAAAAGTTCACTTGAGTTTTCATTAAAGATATGAATGCTGGATTTCCAATGGAGGATACTTCTCATATTAGTTAAGAAGAGAATATATGTATAATTGTTCATTGAACAATATTTAGCTATCTTCCTATCAACTTAGCTGCAAACAAATAGCCAAAAAAAAGTTAACTCAAAGCGAAAAGTTGCTTGAGCATTTGACACATAGATGGCTCCACAATAGCCGCGTCTTCGTGCTCATATACGGCTGTGGCAAATAAAAATATGCTTTCGGATTGTTTAGTAGCACTAGGATGCCATAGTTTTTAAATCGAACAGTCGGCATGGGAGCTGCCAAATTGCCGAGCATTTGAATCACATCTATAGTTTCTTAACACTCATACAGTTTTACACATTAAAGTACAAATAATAAATTATTAGATTAGTTACTACCTACTGTCCATATTATAGCTGACCACACCTATTAGAGGATACGTTTCGGACATAGTGATGCAGTCTAATAAAATGGGTAGTAAAAACGAAACGAAACCGGACATACTTAGCAAGTCCATTCCAAATCACTATGAGTCCGATGGCGAGGGCGAATCGTCACTAAATCCTTACGCTCTGGAGTTTATACCTTCGTATCTGAAGTGTGGTAAGAACGATAATAGCAAGCGTTCGAGTGGGCAAAAAACAAAAACTGAGGCGACCTCAACCACCACGCTGGTGCAGCGTGAAGTAGTCGGCGATGCATCCTATTTGCAGGCCCAGAGGCAGCTGTTCGAGCTGCTCCATCAGATGGGCGACAAGTTCATGCCCCTCAAGGCGATCAACGTGAGCCTGGCAGCCGATGGGCAAGGTATCAATGTTCAGTTTAAGGCCGATATCTCCGGCGTCACCGGCAAGCAGATGCTCGACGAGAATCTCTGCCAGGATGCGGCCCTACATTTGGATGTGAGCGACTCCACCCTAATACCACGAAGACTGCCCAATGTGTTGGCCGCCAATTTTATGGTGCGCATGGGCGATGTCCTTAACGATAAGATGGAATGGAACGAAGACTCCATGGGACCAGGCCGTCCAACAATTGCTCTACAGCCAATCGATGAGAAGTACTTGGATGTGAGGTCATCGATGAGTAGCAAGCATTCGATCGAGAGCAAATTATCCGTAGAGAGCAAACGCAAGTCCGGCTCCAATGCCACTATCAGAGACACCAGTGTTGCCCAACAGCTCGTGGGCAGTACAGCATCCAAGGAATCAATGCTCAAAAACCCGAAGCAGCAGCTGCCGGAACCAGTGCCAATCAATGGCACACTTCCCACGTTCGATAAACCATCTATCGCCAGCAAGGTGCACGTTAGTGCTCCATCTGAAAACTGGAAAAACATTAAGATGTCCAGTTCGAAGGCTGAGACACGTGCAAAGACCATGCATGCTAAGCAGGAGCCCATGTTTGAGTACGTATTCCACTAACATATCAATTGAATCAGGCACGTATAAAATATATACATCTGTTTTCAGAAAAAAATCGAATAAAGGTATACATACACCTCGACAAAGTTTAGGGCAAATCATCAAAAAAGGTTTGACTAGTGGCCAGAAGTTCGTGCCGCGAAGCACGCATACATCCCTAATGCGCCAAACACAGGTGCAAAAGGTAATCGCAGTGAAAGTGTAATAATTGCATAAATAGATTATATATTCTCATGATCATTTGCAGCGCTTGAGTCTCATGAAACCGACCGATAATTAGAATCTGATTAAAATTAACTATATTGATGCAATATATGTATATATATGCAGATAATTAAGGGAGACATATGGAACTAAGGGACCAGTAAATGAATTCTTTTAATTTTACAGAACAGTCCGACGTCAGATCAGGACTTATAGTTCGTAAGCTAATGATTTGTCGTATGTAAAAGAAACATTATTTAATTACCCAACACTGGTTAAAACCAAGCAAGTAAAAAAATAAAATTTCAAAAATTAATACACATTTTTTTGTATGTTTAACAAATATTTTATTTAGTATTCGATTTCACTAGAAAATGCATGTAAATATATATTGTATATCCATGTTGTTTAAATACTTTGGTAAGTTCTGCTTCTGCTTCTGCTTCTGGAGCTTAGGTCTAGGTTTACATATATATTATTTGTTCTGGTAGAGCTGTCAAACTAACACATTGTATTGTAAAATAAATTTGAAATTTATTACATTGATTTATATTGAAGCTAAATATTTTGATTTCCAATTAATATGGATTATTTGTTTCACAGTTCTGCAGCTCTTAGTAGATATAGTTAGGACTGCTTACTATAATTTCATTATCAAACAATTTTTAAATCGAAGACACAGCAGAGATAGACTAATAAAGGATATCATTGAGTTTAATAAACAGGAAGTACGTTTAGGTATTTAAATATTTTCTTTTTACTGCAGGCATGCATCACACTGGAAATAAGTGTATATGATTATAATAATAAACTATAAATACAAATTATATATATAAATAATAAACTAAAATCAATAGAAAAAATGTACAATCGTTAAAACATTCTTAGATGTATGTACAATATGCATTTACTTAAAATTTAATAACAATTAATCGGATTTACGAACTTAACAATTTTGTTTTCTTTCGAGTTTACTGGAGCTTGGTCAACTGGTCGAAAAATTAGTCACAATTTTGTTTGTCTGTGTGAGTGGATGTGTGCGTGTCGATATATATATAGATATACATGTCGTTTATATATAAATATATGCGTATATTGTAGATGTAGATCTTTATGCTATATAGATGTTTGTGTGGGATATATATATGGTATTTGCTGGTTTGCATGGGCTTTAATAAACGGCAAAACCAAAACCTAAAACAGAAAGTAAAATTGAATTAAATGCATGAATTGGCTGACGATTCGATAGGGCTCAAGCAATTAGTACAGGTTAGGTTAAAAGTTTTGCTTGTTTTTTTTTTTTTGGTTTTAGTAATTCAATTGCTTACGGTTAGTTTGCGCATATTTTTTTGTTTGGTTTTTTTTTTAGTAATGACTACCTGGACGTTAGTGGTATGGATGCGTGCGTTTAGCATTGTTAGATGAGACACAAACCAGGGGACGGGGCGCATTGCTAGGTTTACCTGCCACAACAACAACGACAACGACAACATCAAACATCAAACATCAAAGGTCAAAGGTGAAAGATCAAACATCATTACAAAAGGAACACCCAACAGATTTTAATGCTACAAATTACGCTTCTACGTTGCTTTGTTAAAACCGTTTTTAGTAGCTGTGCGTATAAGTGTGTATTGGTATTGTTTGGTTTTTTGTTGGTATTTTGTTTTTTGTTTTTGAACTTAAGCTGTACTTGAGTTATGTGAGGCCCCACTGATCGCATTGAATAAAGCCATGCTATTGCGCTGGGCGGCTGCGTCGGCATCGTCGCTAAGCGGCTGGAATGACTCGTCTTGGAGTAACTCACTGAGCGCTTGACACAACTTCTCATAGTTCTCCTTCAGCACATGGTGGTACTCCTTCTGATCGGCACTGATCATTCGCTCGTTCACGCAGAGCGCCTTGTGGCAGACACCAATAAAGTCTCTGCAGTTTGAAAAGAATTTAAGATTAATCAAGCATATTCTCAGTATTCAGTATGCAGTTGCTCTCTACCGGAATACATCCTTCAGATCCTCAACACGATCCAGCGAAAAGTTGTTGATCACCTTGGCGTCCAGAAAGGCGTGCGCATAGGCCAGGGGACCCGCATTCACAGTAACTGCCACGCTGCCCTGCAGACGCAGCTGCAGCTTCTTCACATCGGCCGGTGGTAGAATGATCTCCTCCAGCTCTGAAACCTTTGATTGCATCTCATCGATGGCCACCTCAATGGGGCTCAGCTCGATGATCTCACGTGATTTGACGGGTATGCGCTTGAGCACATACGGAAACGAATATCGGGCTGCAGACATATACAGATATATATAATATAACACTCACTCACAACAGAATGCATAGCTTTAACCTACTCTTAATGACCGTCTTGCGCTTCCATTGCTCCTCCACGCTGCCGCGAGCTGCGCCAGATTTGGTGAAGGGCGTTTCATACATGAACGTGTCCACATCGTGATTCTGCTCGAACTCGTTCAGGCGTTGATCGAGCTCGTCTTTGGTAAAGAACGGTATGACATGGGTGACCTGTATGTAGGCCAACTTGGGATCCAATTCCTCAACTTTTACCTGCAAGCGAAGAGGACGTAACGATTCACATAAAAGGCAGAAAGAGTCTTAGGGAAGCAGCTGAAAAGGCTATGTGAAATTGAGCCATAGATGGCGCTAGTAAAAAAGCTTAATGTCTTTACAATATGATCTTCAAAGAATTAACAATAGATGGAGCAGCTTCTCGGGATTAAAACATAAAATTGATAATATATATTGCTTTCCTAACTTTTGGGCTATCCTAAACTATTTTTATATATCTGCTCTAACACCTACCTGTACGCAACAGCAAAACTATATGTCTATCTCGATCACAGTTGCTTGGAATATCTGAGCCTTGGGCTCGCATATCACAGCAACATTTGTGTTTCGGCTTACAACAGCTTTACAATATATTCAACCATTTCAAATGTATATCACTAAAATACCCCTGTTATAACTAAATAGCACCGTACAAATAGTAAATTGTTTGTATATCCACAGAGTGCACTAGTACCAAATTTCATTAAAGTTAACAATTTAGAATAGCGGTCAGCCAATTAGTTAGTGGTTAACATGGACAATGAGATGCACCAACAGTTCATCAAGGACTTCATCCAGTCGCTGCAGGCGGGCAGCGAGGACAGCAACTGCTGCATGAAGAGCAACAGTCGAAGCCTGAGCGAGTCATCGCTCAATCCCAATGCGGCTGAGTTTGTGCCATCCTACATGAAGAGCAGCGATGCTGAGGAAGACGAGGCGGAACCCCAATATCAAAGACAGGAGGCAAAGGCATCCGCCAGCTCGTCCACCACACTTGTGAACAATGCGCCGGACGGCGATGGCCCGCACTTGACCAAGGACGAGACGCTGGCTCGCATTCAACGTCAACTATTCAACTTGATGAACCAACTGGGTAACCCAAACATGCCATTGCTGCAGATCCAGTTCAGCCTGGTCGCCAATGGCCAGGGCGTCAATGTCCAATTCTTGGCCCCGGAGAGCAGCAAACGGCAGTTGCTCGACAAACAACTTTGCCAAACTGCCTCCCTTCGCCTGGAAGTGAACGAGAATGGATCACTATCGAGTCGACCTGGATATGCCTTAGCCAGACAATTCCTGGACCGCATGGGCGACGCACTGAACGAGAAGAGCAAGGAAAAGGCGCCAGTCATATGTCCCAAGTGCACGGCTCTTCCAAAAAAACGCAGCTTCACTGAGATGGAAATCGATCGGCAAATCGAAGACATCAAAGCATTTGAGAAGCTCATAAATGAAGATGCCGGCACCCGCTACCAGGAGGCATTCAAACAGCTGTGCCAGAAACTCGGACTCGAAACTCGCAACGGAGATGAACCGATGGAAATTGATCCCGTACCAGTCGCTATTCCACTGGCAATCAACGAGATCAAGAGCGACCCCACAGAGAACACTGAGACGCATTTTCACGAGGATGATCTGTCGAGCTACGAGTGGGATCCGTTCATGCCAGAGTTTACGACCATGAAGGTTTACAGGTACTCGAATCCCGATGCCGCTGATGCGCATGCCAAGGACAACAAGCAGCATCCGGTTGCGGGCCAGAAGTCGCTGAAAGAGGACTATGAGCAGAAAACGTCAGCCCCACAGAAATCCGTTTGTCCAACTCCGAACAATTCGTCTACAGTCTATCCCAAACTGTACAAGGTCAACAACCACGTCAAATGGAGCAGTTCGCCAGGAGCTCGTAAGGCTACCACCCACAAGGACAAGGAGAAGGACAAGGACAAGGAGATCAAGATGCAGCGATGGCGCTTCAGTTCACCAGCAGTCGTGACTTCCGGCAGTGGCAACTCAGCAGCAGCAACAACCGCAGCAGCGCCAGTAGCAACAACAGCAACAGCAACAACACGTGCAATAGCAACAGCAGTAGTTGCGGCAGCAAAAACAACTGCTGCAACAGGATTGGCGGCCAAGAAGACAATCGAACGAGTGCATCAAAATGGCAATCGCATCAAACGCTCCCACCAATTCACCGTCCAGTCCAAAACGGGCCAAAGCAACATATCTAATGCGGTGAGCAAGACAGCCGCGAATTGCAGGCTTGAGCCGCGTCCACAGCTCGCTACGTCCAAGCAGCAGCCAGACCATGTCCATGTGTAAGTAGTCTACATTGGAGGGGAGCGATTGTCTCTGATTGGACTTCCTCTTCCAGTAGTAGTAATAAACTGAGCAAGGCATCTACCTTGAGCCGCACAGGCGGCGTAGGACAGGCGCAGGGCACTAAGCACAGCACGGTAACAGCTCAACGAATTTTGGCGCCACGCAGCACCCATGCCTCCCAGATGCGGCAGTCAGAGGTGAAGCGCGTAAGTTGGCCTTGACAATCCAAAAGAGAAATACATTAAATCAGATTCGCCCTCCTTCCACCTCTTGCAGCGCCTAAATCTAATGCGGGGCGACAACGACACCGATGTCCAGTTCAACGAGTACCTGTTCAAATGAGCTAGTTCCCCGATTCGTTTAATGACTGTGTTGTCCCTCACAGCATCTGTCCAATTGCGTAGCAGTCTACTTCTTCTTTTTAAATGAGTTGTCAATCAGCAGAAGCAGCTTGATTGTTATCGTATAGTTAGTTTGTTAGCCCTGTCGAAACGATTATACCTATATCCATGAATAACTATATATATTTTATACTTAGCTGAGCTTGAGCTGCAAATTATATAAGATTGTTAAGCATTCAATATAGAGGCAGTGATTATGTTGTTATATATATATTTGTTTTAGCAAACGTCACAATAAAAATTTGTATTCCTGTAAGCACAATAAGTGTGTGCAAATATGTATTTCAAGCTGCCTTTCAATTTCACTTGCTTGATATAAAATACTATATATGTGTGTATTCTACAAAGTTATCTATGCTCTAAATGAACTCTCAAGACCTCTCCTATCGGACCCCCAAAATCATCTGCCATGTCATCATATATAACAAGTTGATTTATTTTCAAACTTACCGGCGAGGAATCCATTATGAGCTTGACCACGTCGGCGCCGAACTTTTCCTTATACTGCTTGGCCAAGCGTTCAGAGATTTCGCTAAGCGATGTCAGTTTTGGCTCCTTGTAGACAAACTCGATGGCATGATCCTCCTCGAAGTACATCTGAAAAATAAATATATCAGCTCAAGGAAGTTTAGATTGCCATAAGATCTCGCTCCACTCACTATGCCATAGAAGACCACTCGATAGAAGCGGCCTAGCATGCGTTTGCCGGACCGATTCACCTCGACTATTTTGTTGTAGGCCTGGGTGAGATGCTCATAGCTCTGGGCCAGCTCGATAAAGTTGCGGGCGCGCTCATAGATAGGCAGGATGAGCTTGTAGAGTTCGCCGAGGCACTCGAAGCGCTCGGCGCGGTCCAGGAAGTCGGCGCATTGCTTCAGCTGCTCCAGCAGCATTTGCTCAGTGTACTGCGAGTCCTGGGCGCCGGCATCCAGCTTGAGGCCCTGCTCATCCAGGGGAATGTTGCGTGATATCTTGGCAAAGGCCGTCGAGGACCAGCTGAGAGTGCAGCCGCCGCGTAGGCGCAGATATTCGCACATCAGAGCCGCAATATGCAGATGACAGCAAGCGGCCTCCGAGAGATTGCCGTTCTGCTCATGATTGCGGGCCATGGTCACCAGCCAGGTGTGCCGCAGCTCTGGCGTCGAGGCGTACGAGTTGGCCAGCGAGTACTGCAGTTCGAGCAGCCGTTCCGGGTCCATGTGATGCGCCTGCATCTGCGCCGTGGCCATCAGCACTGTGCGCACGCGTCGCGTCAGATCCTTGACCTCCAGGGGAAAGCCGGTGCCCTTCATGGCCTTGTCACTGTTGGCATAGCTGTTGATGATGGACAGGCTCTCCTGGAAGCGCGCATTGTTAAGCCCAATCACATTGCCAATCATCTGCGACACCGAGATGATGACCTGCAGATGGACGCGGGTGAGCGCCTTGCGGCCGCTGAACTCGAAGTTGCTGCGCATCAGCAGATAGAGAACGGCGCAGGACTCCTGGCGAATGTGCACCAGCCGACTGTCGCAGGCCTTCAGCAGCTCATAGACCATCTGGCCACAGAGCATTGCATTGCCCTTGAACAGGGCCATCGAATAGTTGTTGATGAAGGCGCGCAGCGCGGCAAACAGATGCTTGGACAGGCGCTCCGACTGGCCCAGCTGCAGGAAGCGCAGATAGACGCGCGCCAGCTTGGGCAGCACCAGACTGTCGGCCAGGAGCTGGCGGAATTGCAGCACGTAGAGGCCGAGGCAGTCCAGTATGATCATGCCCACCTCCGTGGCCAGGTTTGATTCGTACAGCGCTTGCTGCGATCTAGCACACAAATCCATGTCCTCGAGCAGATGCTCACGCGTCTGGGTGAGGGTGCCAGTGCTGGGCTCTGCGCTGCCGTTCTCCACCACAGGCGGCGTGCTGCGAGCGGGCAGCGTATTCGCTTTAGCCGGCCTCTGCACTCGAGCCTCGCTGGCCATCACAATGTTCTTCTTGCCCACGTAGCGGAATTGCAGCAGGCACATGTCCAGAATGGACAGGAACTGCAGTGTCTCCGTCTCGTTGCAGCTCTGCCACCAGGCGACCATTTGATCCTGCGACAAGTGCTTCACAATAAACAGAAAGCCGAGCAGCAAATCTTTGCTCTCCGCCGCACTGAACTTGTCGCAGCGTGCGAGAATCTGGGCATGGGTCACGCTCACGGATCGATTGTGACCGTTGCGCATGGCCACGTCCATTTCGCCATTGGTGTAGGCGCCGATCGTTGTGGTGTCCTGTGAGTGCTAGCACAAAGATTTAATCATTTAATTTAATAGACAATTAAATATATTATCTAATTGACTTACGCCTGAATCGGAGTTCGAGTTGAGGGACAAATTGGAGATGCCGTTGCCAATCGCCGAGCCCGCAATGGCGGCCAGATAGTTGTGGTCCTTGATGTGCATCGAGGTGCGACAGGGACTGGCGTGGTCAGCGTGGGGCGTGAGGCGATTCTTGGAACGGGGCGTGGAGGTTAGCGAGCCGAAGGTCGAGGAGTCCTTGCTGAATACATAGCTGCTGGAGCAACTGAGCCGCTTAGTATACGACGCCGAGTCCGCATAGACATGGCCGTTGGGCGTGCTGGCGTCCGATTCGGACAAATCATCGATGCGCTGCAGGTTGTCCATGACAATGCCCAGCCAGGGCACATACAGCAGCGCGATGCGGCTCAGCTGGCCGCGCTGCTGGTAGCGCGCGTCCAGCTCGTGCTTGGCCAGCAGATCCCTGAACACGGACAGCGCATGGCGCCGCACGTGGCCCACCTCGTTGAGGCTGCTCTTCAGCTCCTGCAGCAGCAGGCCGGAGAGGAAATGCTGGCGACAGAACTGTTCCGAGAGCGTGAAATGCTGCAGCATTTCGGGCGGTCGATTCTTCGGATTCAGCACGAACGGCAGATTGAGCGGCACATAGTGCTCGTGCTGGCAGATCTCCTGCAGGAAGTTGAACTTGTACTCGTGCAGCACGCGCGGATTGCCAGGCGAGAACTGTTCCATGTAGAAGCGAATCAGCTTGAACACAAAGCCGCGATCCATGTAGCTGAGGCACTGGCGGATAAAGCGCGCCAGCGAACGATTCAGCAGCTGCGTCTCCTCGCCGAGATCATCGTAGCGGGTTGTTATGTACGGTATCAGCGCCTTGACCAGCTGCTCCACCCGATCCGCGTACTCCTTGGGAAAGCGCTCGTTGCGCAGCATGCGAATGCGACCCGTGGCCAGCAGATGCTGCGCCATGCTCTTCACAATCAGATCGAAGAAGATCGAGGAGTAGCGCATGAACTTGTTCACGATCAGAAAGTCCGTGTTGTTGGGATTGAGCAGGTAGGGCAGGTGGCGGCACAGCTCGCCGTGCACGGTGCGCGATCGAGCTGTCTGCTGACTGTAATAGGGCGCATGGAACACATACTTCACGTACGAAGCGAGCAGCTCCGTGCGCTTGGCCTCATCGCTGATCTGGTGTATGACGTTCGTTAGCAGACGAATCACATTCAGGCCGATCTCCTCGGACTGCGTGTGCACCAGGAGTGTGAACAGCTCGTTGAGGAGCGTGGGCAGAAAGTTGATCAGGGAGCGCATGTCGATGGCGTGCGCCGCCTTGAGGATCTTGCAGGTCTCCGTCTCGGCTGGCAGGGCTCCAGTCTTGCCGCCCTCCAGCAGGCGTTCGCAGTGGGCAAAAAAGTTGTGCAAATGCTGGTCGGATGTCAGCACCGTGGAGTCCAGACGCAGGCCAACGCTGAACAGCGCTCGCTGATTGTCGATCCACTGGATGTCCGGACCGCAGTTCTGCTGAGAAATTGAAAGGGTTGTAGGCGGCCGTGGGGTGGGTGGGGTAGTAGTTACGGATGCAGTGCATGAAGAGAATGTGCGGAAAAGAAAATACAGAGAGCGGGTTTTTGGTTAGGCAAGCACGGAATGGATGTGGATCAAAAACACAAAACACGATGCATGAGTCAATGATCGATGCTAGCAGCGACGACAGCAACAACTTACCCCCTTACCCCAGCCCAGCGGCTGTATGGATAGATATCCAACGGGCAGCGTGGCAGCCACGGGCAGCAGCTGCTCCTCCAGACAGATGCGATTCTTCTGCAGCAACGGCAGCCAGGCATAGCCAATGGGCGTCTCAAATGCTGCGTGCGCATCGCGTTTCTTGCTCAGGTTACAGGAGACGTGATAGAACGAGAAGAGCAAATGATGCTCCGGAAAGAGGCCCAGCGGCAGACGCAGCTTGATCTCCTCATACCACGTGGGCGTCACATTGTGATGCAGCACCGGGCAGGCGATCTGTGAGACCAACAGTTCCTGACCAGGTCGGCCATAGATGCACTGTGAACGAAGTGAAAACTCTCAGATTAGATGCACAATTGACTTTAGCATTGGAGTTCCTACCGTTAAAGGTTTACTGTACTCGCCATCGCCATCTCTCAGCTCGACGACGACTGTGATGTTGCGAGCGCGTGAAAAGATCTTTTGACTATCGAACTGAAGGCTCAGGGGATACACATAGAGATGGTTACAGAAACTGGTATAGGGATGCGCATCCCGCTCGGTTTGGCTCTGAAACTCGGCGAGTTCCAGAGTGAGCGGCTGCTTGGCGGAGGCACTGAAGGTGGACAAGGGCGCCAGGGACTTGGTCAAGCCGCAGGGCGTCGTTTGATCCAGCAACTGCACCTGCAGGCGCATATAGCCCGGTATGATGTTAAGCTTGCTAAGTTTTTCCGGCTTGCGGTAGTCGGCCAACAGCTTCAGCAGCTCCTCATCGCGCAGCTTGGGCAGCTCCTGCCGATAGATGGTGCTGAACTCGCACACGCAGTTGGAGTCCACGTCCAGCTCATGGCTGTAGGCCTTGAAGAGCGGCCGGGCGGCCCAGGCGAATGGCTGGCGATAGTGCCCGATGTGCTGGGCACAGCTCTTGGCCGTCTTGTGCACCTTTTGGCCCAGCTTGGGATCACGTGCGGCCTTCATATATGGCTCGGCCGCCTGGGCAATGCTGCACTGCAGCACCTTCTCAATGCGCAGCACCAGATAGATGTCCGCATGCGGCGCGCTGACCGACAGCATGCACTGGCGCAGCTGGTGGAATTGCTGACGTGGACAGCGCAGCAGCTCGGATGAGACGCTGTCGAACAGCGAATGTGGAGCTTGGGAGGCATTGCGCTCATCGTTCTCCACACGCCTGGGGATGCCACAGTCCGCCACGGAGGCGGGCACTGGGGTATTGGGCAGCATCTGGGCCGCACTGGGCTCATTTATGTTGAAGTAGAAGTTCTCGCTGAGCTTCCGTCCGGCTTTGGCGTCATAAAGCGCCAAGCTGGTTATATAGGGCTCCACCTGGCACAGCTGTTCGCCCGCTGCACCATCCGCCATATCCGCCGACTGGCACTGCAGGCGAAAGCGCAGGCACTGACAGCTGAGCAGGACGCGCGTGCCAAAGTGATCGCGATACTGCTCCACATTATCGTTGCCCACGGCCTTGGCGTTGCTCTGGTAGCAGGCGAAGAGACGGCGGCGTTGCTCGCGACGCGCCTGCGCTATGGAGTGATCCGTCTCGCGTCCATACTTCATCAGCTGCGGATGCAGCGACTGATCCAGGCCCTTGAGAGTGCCAAACGTGGCTGGTTCCGTGGCCGGCGGTTGCAGCTGTGGCGTGGGCGTGGCACTGGCATTACCATTGGCTGGCTGGCGCTCTAGCGATGCGTTGCGCTTCTCCTCCTGCGCCTTGTTCTGTGCCAGCACTGAGGACAGCTTGGACAGCCAATCTTTAAAGTCCTGCTCGTTCTCGGCGGCCAAGGTGAACGACTTGTGACCAGTTGTCATGCGCAGCTCAAAGCAGAAGCGACCACGTTTTGGATTCTGTACAAGAGAGATTCGCAATTAGAATTGGACAGATTGAAGATAATATATGCCGACTCACCTGCACCACCTCGGTGCAAAAGTCCATGACAATGGTGGCCTTGGCCTCGCACTGCTTCTCATCTTTGTGCAGCTCGAGCATGTAGGTGCCATCGATCTCCTGGCGCAGATAGCAATAGCGACGCTTGAACGACTTGTTGCCAATGTTGGCAAACATGCGATCCGCGGCCGAGTCGGGCCCCTTCAATAGGAAACCCTGTTTGGTAATGCTGTCTGCCTGGGAGCGAGTCATCTGCTCATCGATGCGGTCCTGGTCAGCATCGATTTCGTACACCTCCTCCAGCAGCTCCTCGGCAGGTGAGGTGCTACAAGCATAGACATCAAGTATCAGAAAATAGGCTTGGCTGGAATGCCCACACGCTTACCTGGGCAGATCGTGACAGTTGCCGCCATATGCACTGTACTTGTAGTGGATGAGATGATTCTTGGCACGGTACGTGTACAGCGCCTGGCGAGTGAAGCGCGTGCACTCGGCACGCGTGCCCAGAGCAGTGGCATCTGTCACATCCTCGCTGGGCACTGGCTCCTCGTCCGCATACTCATCGACCTCCTCGGGCTGCGCCAAGTTCGAGCGCAATGTGTTGGAGGACAACGCCGACTCATAGGATGACTCCTGCGAGGTCTTTCGACTCACCGCCGACCCGTTCGAGCACTGCGAGCTCTTGCGCGACAACTGCCCATTGCCATTCGAAAGGCTGCTCGTGCTGCTGTGGCCATTGTGGAGGCTGCCATTCGACTGCAGGCTGCCCTGCCGGCTCACCTGGCCGTGCCCATTGCTGCCCAGCACAATTGGCCCGTGCAGTGGCGTCACAATAGCCTCATTGGCTGGCACAAATCGATCTGCGACAGACTTGGCAGTGGTGCGCTGCTTGCGCGGCATGACAATCTCCTGGAATACATGGGGAGGGCAATTGCGTTTCAGTAATGAGGAAACTTTGTGAAGGCTAAAAATATATTCTATTGACTATCAGTTAACCTATTAGTAAACTGCTAACAAAGAATTCTTTAGTAGTTGTTGCTCGACTAAAAGATACCCTAAACACAATCTACGTTTTATCAGTTTAATTATATGGATATAAAACACAATCTGGAGTAAAAATATATATTCTTTACTGTGGTCTGTCAACCAAATAACTATATCCTGATTGGCCATTTCCAATGGGTTTTATATTTATATATGCTAAATCAATTCCGATTATCAGTTAGAATACAAGTTAATTATTTACTGGATATCTTACTTAATTTCGAGTAAAGTTACTTCAAATATCTCAATTGTAATCTCTTTCTGCATATACTAATCTTTAGATCCAGCTTTTCTTTTAGCTCCAACTAAGCACTAAATGCATATTTATAGCCAATATACATCTCAGGCGCACGCATCATTGATTTATGACGCCGCATTTCATTCCGGGCCGATCCGAAAGTAAAAGTTTTGTGCATACCCAGTGAAATGAATAAATTATTCGTTCAGGCTTTTAGGCTTTTGCCACGCAACTCACCGAGACATCGTCCGCTGGATAGATAAGCAGCTCGCGCTGCGGATCGTTTTGTATGAGTGTTTTATTTTTGGCTATAAAGGCTTCAAAGTCGATCGGCTCCACGACGAGTGGTTTGTTCTGCAATTAGGAAGAGAGAGAAAGAGAGAGAGGGTGAGATGATATTTTGGTTAGATTCTTGTTTTCTTGCTAATTTATGTGTGCCACTTGTAAAAGCACAGCGCATCTATAAATACATACTGCTCCCCCAATAACTAAATACTTATGGCTATGCTCACTCCCATTTTCGAATTTATGCAATGCGCGCCCGAAAGAATTTATTGAATTTAAGCACGCAATAAATTTATAGCCATTTGCCTATAGCCACCCGATGCCGCCCCACGAACTGTGCGGACCTTGACCGCATTACATAGCGGATGTCGACGTCTCTGTTTGATTTTGATATTCTGTTGTTGTGTCTGGCAGCTTCTGCTGCTGCGACTACGGCTGCAACTTGTAATGATGTGTTCCATGCCATCTACACGTCGGCGTGGGCCGAGCCATTGGCATAAACAAATCGATTTTGTTTAGATATTCGGCATTCGACATTCGACATTTTGCAGCGCCTTGCAGCCAATTTGAGAGATCTCATTTTGCGCATTCGAGTTTCAGAATTTGGCCACGATGACACCATGGAGGTGCGCCGGCAAACTCAGTCTGACAAGTGGGCAGCGGCCCAACCCTTTGTGACATGGCGCCAGCTCGAAAAGGTTAAAGTGCCGTTTCCGGTGTCGCTTACAGCTTGACGCGAACCCCCAGCCTGGGCTTGGCTCTGGCTTCAGTTAATGGGCTTCAGAAATGGGAGCATCGTGTGATGCCTTCAAAAAGGAAAAAGTGACAAGCAAAGGTGTCGGCCAGTTAAACAGGTCAAATATAGGTATATAAAAGCATTAGCTAATAACGATTGTCTGAGGTCAGCAAAGAGTTTGCTGAAACCAGAGAAAGTAAAGCAAGTCATAAAATCATTCTGTGCGGGACTGGTAGAGAGTGAAAGAGACTTGAGTAAAGTCTTCAAAGACCAACTTAAATTATGATCTGCGATTCCTTTGACGTCTACAAGATTTTAATACATTCACACCTTCCCAAGCATAATGAAATGTCAATTAACAATTTGATGAATTTAGGCATTTATAGCCCAATTATAATAATGCATAATGAATACAAATTCGCCATAAGTGAAACTGAATTAAATTGTTAAATCACACAAATATTACGAAAATAGCAGAATTTGTATATAATTTTGTTTTATTCATGAGATTATATATTTCTGCGGCTGTTGCCAAAAACATAATCGAAATTTCAGTGAAATCTTGAAAAAAAATTTTTTATAATCAATGCAGAGCGAATGAAAGAGAAGATAAACAGAAGCCATAAAACAGCTTAAGAAAAAGTTAGCATAAATCTTAAGAATTTGCATATGTCAGAAAAAGTAAAGGTAAATTTTCGATTTCGATCTCGATTTCCATTTGAGCAACTCTGCCAGCTATACTCTTCCCAGCCAGTCACGTCCAGCGCTCGTTTCTTATAGCCACTGCGGCCTGTAGTAGCCTCTACCCTGAGGCGTTCGTGTGAGGAGCTAAATGTCAATGCACTTGTCGCCTGCTCGCGGTGATTGCCTGTCACATGTGAAAATCATTTCGTTTATAGGCCCAAGTCGTGCTCTCTCTCTCTCTGTCTCTCTTTCACGCCCCCTATCTTTCGCTTTTCACTCACGCACAGGCATGCAAATTGCCTGCCTCCGCGTCGTCACTTGCGCAATTAAAACCCCCACTCAAAAAGTCTGAGCCGGGAGCGACGACAAGTGCATCGGGCATTACGCAAAGCAATTACCAAATCAATTGGGCAGCCAAACTACAGCATATAACGGCTTAATATGGTATATACCCTGTAATAAGACGCAATTGGGCAGGCATGGAATGTACCAAGGCAACACTGGGTATTGGCTAGCATACTAAATTAGTTAGAGAATCTAGAGAATATTAGTTAAATTATGATTCGATTCAAGTATACATAATTTTGTGAGGCAAATAAGAGAAAGAGAATATTAGACACAAAATTAGCTTCAAAATTGTGATAATTTAAAAAAAAATTAATTGATATATTTAAATTATATTATATTCATTCATTTTGTGATTTTTTTCAACTTCATGCAATTCTGGTTCTACAAGCATCGATTCTTGTTTAGTGAACAGCAAAAAATAAAACAATAAAAAATATACAATAAATTCCCAAGTCACTTGAAAATGCAACAATTTGTCGCTCTGTCCATGCCATATCTCTCTTAATGGCACCAACAAATAATGTTAAAAATGCAACAGAATCCTCTTTAATGAAAACCAACTTCACTCGACATACAACACAGTTGCTCGCTTCCGTCTTCATTTGGCTATAGGAAAATAGTTCCCAAAGACTTCTGAACGAGCTTCATCATTAGCATTTAACAGGTTGGCAGCGTGTTTTTTTTAGAGCTAGTTACGCATACGACAGAGACCTTCAAGCGGAGCATGGAAAAATGCCATGGGCGTTGCTGAAATGCCAACATCCAACATTTAACATGCCAGCAAACTTGTTCAGATCACTCAATATGGGCGCAATCTATCGCTGTATCTGAATACACAGTCTTACACGCAAATTTGTTATAAAAAAAAAAAATAAATAAAAGCTGATAGGGAATGAAACCGCAGCGCCTAACCACAAGAGCAACAGCCATTGGTCCAGCTGCCTGGCAAGGCGTGAAACCTGAGCATCATCATCATCATCATCATCATCACCGGCATCAGCAGCATCTTGATCATCGTCATCAGACAGCAAACGCTATTATCAGACGCTGGATTGGGTTGGAGGCGCCACCACGAAACGTGATGATTTTCTATGCCTGGCCATGCGATTGCAGTGGTGCAGCGGTGCAGCGGTGCAGCCAAGTGGCATGCGGCTACTTGTCGCTGGTTATGGTTAATGTTCGATGGCTACGGCAATGGTAATGGCAATGACCGAACCGAAAGGGGCGTTCGTTGATTTCGATATGGCAGTAGCTGTATGCAGACATCGCCTTGCCAGCCCCGACCAGCCCAGGCCAACGGAGCCCTGGCCATGTCAATGTCTATGAGTGCAGCCCCACAATGTCGCTAAAGCAGAGCAATCACTCCCCTATGGCTGGCTCGCTCGCTTTCCCCCGTTTGAGCCCCCCAATCGCCAATCAATTTAAATTGCAACAATGCAGCCGCCTTTTCATATAAAAAGATCTTGAGCCGCTTAAATGAGCGATACAATAGAGCGGCACAAATGGTCGGGGGAGAAATGTATTTTGTGTTGTTTTTGTTTCGCTTTGAAGTGAATTGGAAACCATTGAAGTGGTCTGCCTCTAGGCAGCGCCTCAAAACCGATTTGCATTATGGGCCTGTGGAAAAGTTTTGACTAATTTTAGTTTTGCTGCGTGGGGCGAACTTTTGACCCACACTCAAAACAAATCAAATGTTCTTTGATAAAAGACAAAACAGACAATATAACGCAATGTCAGGGAGCATGTGCCACTATAAACTATATCTAAAGCAAAAAATGTTTTAATAGCAACAACAATTTTATATTAAATGGGCTTAAGTGATCCACTATGGAAATGAAAGTGTTTTGCCATTTTTGCATATATATCTGCATGTTTAGTGTAGATATATACTATGGAAGACTGAACAAAAAGCATTTAATATATACATATGTATATATATACACGTTCGAATTTATAGTTCTCTTATAATAAACATATATTTTTGTTTATGTAAATCGTATACTATATTTTTTTAGCGCCAACGTCAAGTAAATTAAGAATATAATGAAAGATACATATACATGTGCATATAAAATACAAATGTACTTTTCTTTTTATTTATATATGTATTTAAAAAAAAAAAATCAGAATTGGAAATGCTTTTATATTTATCTTCTTCGTATGTAATACTTGACCTATATTTAATTTAATAAATATTTATTGCATTCAAGTGCTTTGATTATCGTTTCTTGAAAACTTGTTTGCATACTCACAACAGCTTCAATTTTTCTTCATAAAGAAATAGTCCAGCGTTTGCGTTAAGTGTTATGAATTGCAATTCAAAGAATTTTGAATTTTGAAGTGCTGGAGTGGAGTTGATATAACCATATTATGCCAGCTTTATCAAAGCTCAAAACCTGAGTCAGCTCTGTAAGCTGATAATAAATATAATGTACTAGTATAGAAACTCTTAATTTAAGGGACTTTCAATAGTTATCAGAGTCCTATACTACATACTCTTAGTTTAAAATAAACAATTTGCATATATATTTTTATCTATATCCGCCACATCCGCTCGATGCACGGTCGACCCTAAAGGCACACGCCTTGTCCTCGCTTCTATTTTTAGCCGTTTTATATTACATATTATTGTACAGTTCTTTACATAAATTAGAAAAAGAGGGAGAGGGGTCACCAGACTGAGCTGAGAATTTGCATGAATTGCGCTGATAAAAAGAAATACTTTGCATAGCAATGTCATCACACAATGCACTGGGTTATGCTTGTGTATGTTTGCGTGGATACTCTGAGAGTTTTTTTTTTATTACATGTATATAAAATTTCATTTCTGAGCTGCGTCTGTCACTGCGCCCGGTTTCCCAAGTGACGCAGCGGAAAAGGCCGCAAAAGGCGCGACAGTTTCGGTTTTGGTCATCATCAGGGCAGGTTTGGGTACAACGAACCCGTCGCAAAAATCGTTTGTGTTTACACAAATGTCGCTACGACCACGTTAACTGGGACTCGAGCATTGGCGTAAACTCAATTTGTGACGTCTAGTCAGCGAATATTGAGCTGGAATTCGAGCAGATGTAAAGCATGTGGAAATTGTAATTTTAAGTGGGAGTTCTTGGCATTGTAGAGGATCAAATTATTATATATATAAAATTTGGCTAGTAATTTAATTTGGAAGTTAGTTAAGGCTTGCTTAATAATTTGAAAAAATATTTGTAGTTAGTTTAGTTTTAGTTTTAATCTAACAATATATTGATTGTCTGCAATAAACACTCTAAAACAGAAAAGCTAAATTTTTAAAGTTGTTCAG